GGTGTGTGAGTGTAAGGCTGTGTTTGTGTTTGTGTGTGCGTGGGTGTGTGCATGCGCACACGCGTGTCTGCATGTGTGCGTGTGTGTGTGTGTATGTGGAATTACATTGATGCATTTCTTGAGAAAGGTGCAAGAATTTCACCTACACAGAGGGACACATCTGCTTTGTTATTTATAATAGAAAGCTAAATTTTAATTTTTTAAAGGACACTGCTAATGATTGAGAATCGAGTTTTTAGTTTTGCTATTTTTTTTAATTGGTAGAGGATTTTTATATATTTTTTCCATTTCGTTGGGTTGTGTCCTTATTTATATAAATACTTTATCTGTAAGAGGCAAGGAAGAAACCTTCTTTGCTTTTAATTATTGTGGTTGTCATCGTCCCTGTTTTATTTCTGGTGTGATTTATCTGTCTTACCTTCTAAATGAGAAAGTGTTTTCCTCGTATTTGTACATTGTCAGATTCTATAGTTTCATAGATAATTTAACCAAATTGCTCTATGTATTATTATTCTGTGAGTATAAAGTTCTATTTTAACGTCTGTAAATACTTCAGAACTGGCTTCTTTTCTCAAACTCCCACTGCGGAGTTATTGTTTACATCACAAAAACTGTAGAATCTCTGAGCTCATGTACTGTAAATAGTGAAGTGATCTGCTTATAAATAAACTTAACAAATACACTATGGAGATTAAAAAGAAAATACCACCCACAGCCCTGCCCAGGTGTGTCTTTCTTTCTTGGTCCTGTGAGCTCACTGAGGGACACTGGCCACTCAATGGGGAGGATATTCCAGTTTCAGCATCACTTTCTCAGACATGACTCTAGTCGAAGTGTGCCCACCCTCCCCCTCCTCCCCAAAACTCCCTTAGTTCACTTTTTCCTCCTTCTCAATACTTTTCAAGATTCATGAGAACCATTGACTCATTTCACATAACAGCTGTTCTATTAACAACTTTTGGCCATGACTTTATAAAGCTATGCCACTTTCTTTTTTTTGAGACAGAGTCTCACTCTGTTGCCGGGGCTAGAGTGCCGTGGCGTCAGCCTAGCTCACAGCAACCTCAAACACCTGGGCTCAAGCGATCCTCCTGCCTCAGCCTCCCGAGTAGCTGGGACTACAGGCATGTGCCACCCTGCCTGGCTAAATTTTTCTATATATATTTTTAGTTGTCCATCTAATTTCTTTCTATTTTTTTAGTAGAGACGGGGTCTCACTCTTGCTCAGGCTCTTCTCGAACTCATGAGCTCAATGATCCTCCCTCCTTGGCCTCCCAGAGTGCTAGGATTACAGGCGTGAGCCACCGCGCCCAGCCTATGCCACTTTCTGAACAAAGACTTCCTTGTTTTGGTAATATCAGTTTTTTCACCCAAGCACACTAAATAAATGTGCTGTAAGAGATATTTTGACATTACGGTTTCAGGCAAAGCGATCATCAGTTTATAATTACAAAGCAGTTTCTGGTCAGAGGATCTGAGAGAGCAGATCTGAATTATGTGCCGTATCTGGGTGAACTGGGAACATTTTCCTTTGTGTTCATACTTCCAGCAAGTGGAGTGAGGAAGTGGCATCTTCCAAGAGTCAGTCTTGTGCGTGTGTGTTATTTCCTCATGTTTCAAAGGGTTTCGCCTGCATTTTGCCCCAAAGCTGTTTTTGTGCTTTAAGTGTAGTTTGAGTGCAAGTTGCCCGAAGTGTTGAAACACTGGTGAAGGGAATTACGTACAAACAAGAGCAGGCACAATAAACCATTGCGTTTCATGTTATGGGCAAACTATTTTCAAATTGTTGTTTATTACATATATAAACTCATGTACAGACATTCTCATTCATTGTTCAGGTGATTTATTTTCTCAATCTGGGAAAATTGCTTGGATTTCTTCAGTTGGAAGGGAACGCATCATGATTTTCCTCGTTAAGTTGAATAAGGATGTTTCCACTTGGGGCAGAGCACTCTGGCATGATCAGAGTCCTTAGCGAGAGTTTCTCAGTGTCTGTAACCCCTTTACCTTGTTAGGTGGTAAGATCCAGAGCAGGCTTGCTTCCCCATTCACTGCAAGGCGCCCAGCCCCATCAAGAAGCGACTCCTGAGTGGATCCCACCCATGGCGCAAGGAGTAGAATGGCAGGTTCAGAGCTTCAAGGCCTGCATTTGGAACCCAACTGTGCCACTTCTGTATTGCGTGAACTTGGACAAACCACCCCTTCCGCCCCTGACCTCCCTGAAGATGGAAGTCTAAGATGATTTGCTTAGATGAACTCAAAGGTCCTTTATATTCTAGAAAAGCTAATTTGCAGAAGCAGTGTGGGGCAGGGAAAATGGTTACGAGCTGGGGTTCTGGTGTCAGGCCGCTTAGCTTTGAATCCTCACTCCACCACTTACCAGCTGGGTGTCCTTGGGCAGGTTTCCTAACATCTCTGATTCACTTCTCCATCACGTGATAAATGGGGCTAGTAACAGTTTCTACAGGGTTGCGAGGATGAAATTGGATCAAGCACAGAACCTCGCACAAAATAAGTGCTTAAGCAACATTAGCTGTGATCCTCATCGTGCACGGTCTCATGTGGTGCCCACCACAGCCCTCTGAGAGAGGCATGGCAAGGGTTCCAACAGTCCTTTGACAGACTGGGAAGGCTGGGAAGCAAAACCGAAGGAGCCTGCCGAGGGGACTCAGCAACATCAATGCCTCTATGTTCCTGGGTGACACTTCTCACCACCAAGCCACAACCATCATACGTGATATGCTTAGGACATGCGTCTGCTTAAAAGGCCAATGTTCTTAGAGTGTCAGTTGCAGCAGGGCGGTAATTCTAGCTTGGGAGTTTAAAGCTTCACGTTCCAGCCCCAGCGCCCTGTTAACATCACGACCTACAAATATGAGCGGGGCCTGTGTGTCAGGAGCCCAGATGGATCTGCTGTGGAAGCCACAGGGATGTGTGTGCCCGGTACACTGTGTGCTCTGTGACCCTGGCATCTCCTGGAGGGAAGCCAGGGAACTGTGCTATGTATTTGGCCCAGCCCTGCCCCCTCACTGGCCTTCAATTTCCTCGTTTATCTAAGAAGGGAGGTTAGTGTAGATCAGCAGTTTATAGTTTGGGGAAATCATGTGGTTCCCTCTCCTCAAAGCAATTGCTTTAATGTATTAGCTTCTGTATAACATTCAGTTTGGGAGGAAGAAAAGTTCTAGAGCTGATGTTCATTTATGGGAGAACAGGGAACAGAGGAATGCGTTACACGCTGTCGCAAAGAAACAGATAAATCCGGCTTGTGAGACAACTGTCGCTGTTTCTGCAACAAGTCACTGGCAAAGAAAAAAGGAAGGAGCAGCACCCGCTGCAGATTAAGAGACTTAGAAACGTAGCAAGTGCACTGTGTTAAGTTATGGGTGTGTTAATTAGCTCGCTGGTACAATGTATATCAAAACATCATGTTGTACACCTTAAATATATGCAATTTTTATTTGTCAATTATACCTCGATAAAACTGGAGGGGGGTAAAAACAATAGAGAATGGAAAAAAATTAAGTTTGGGCGAGCGTAGCAGAAATTTACTGCAAACTTTTAAGCACGTTATTGTCATTTTCAACTTTTGGTTTATTTGTGCTGTTTTCAACCTCAGTGACTACGGTGTGAATACTAATCAGGCCAATGGCACTCTGCCAGGCGTTGCAGACTCACCAGAGCATACTTAGATCTGATTTTAAGGAAATAAGTTCTGTTTTTAAACCAACAGAACATATGATAATTGAAACAGAAGGCCTGAAGTTGAGAATAATTTGCCTTAATTTATACTCCTTGAAATCAGTGGGAATAAAAGGATATCTTTGGCTCCCCATGAAAAAAAAGTATACCTTTTTCCTAAAAACAAATTAAAAGAAACGTAACAACTAAATTCAATGTGTGAGCCTTGTTTGAATCAGATTCAAGCAAACCAACTATTAAAGACATTTTTTGTAACAACGAGGGAGAGTGGATTAAGGGCTGGCATCCGAAGTTGGGTTCTGCAGGAAGCAGACTCTAAAATGACTTCGTCTGCAGGATGCTTGTTAAGGAGTGCCCTGGGAACAACGCCTGGGGACGGGGAAGGAAGGAAGCAGGGGTGGGCAGAGGGAGGAGTTGAGCTGTGATGTGAGCCCGCAACAGACTTGGTGGACTCCACGAGGAGTCCTGGAGCTAGAATGGCCTCGCAGAGTTGTCCCGTGTCTGGCCAAGATGGCCAGGCCTTTCCACCTGGCATGGACCCGTCATTGGCTATAGGCCGCCCTGGGAAGGTAAGGTGTGTCCCGCAGGGGCTGACACTGAAGGCTCTCTGCCAACAGCACTCACAGCTAGTGGGGCCCCCGAGTCCTTTACTGAAGTGGGGGGGGGGTCTGTGTCGCTCATCACAGCATACACCGCCACTGGGTGGTAGGTGTGCATCTATTGCATGTGACAATGGTGTGCTTATGTTAGAAAATGCCTCCAGTGCTGGGATGAGCATTAAAAAAGAAAGAAATAAAAAGAAATGCCCTTATTTCTTTAAAGATACACAATGGAGGAATGAAATGATATGTCTGGAATTTGCCGTTAAATACTTCAGCTAGGAAAAAATTGAAAAAGAAACAAAAAGGACAGATGAAGTACATGTGGCCAAATCCTGACATCAGCATCTGGGTGATGGATATGTGCGGATTCACATTCTCTACTTTTGAGAATGAAAATGCCTATGAAACATGAAAGTGTAAGAACAAAAATGGTCCTCAGCAAGCAGGTGAACCTGGCATTAATTAAATGTTTAACTGATGCCTGCGAAAACTGGGATATGGGTTTTAGCTCAATAAACACTTCTCAAGGCTAAAAGAATGTTCAAAAGCTACTAGATAAGATGTAAGCTAAATTCTCTATCTGCTTTCAAATCCTGTAACTCTTTTAACTTCTCAGGAAGGTGTGTGGTTTTCCATTGTTTTGGGTAATCTCCTCCCATGAAAGGGTGGAGCCGTCTGGCCGGAGGGTCCCTGGTCACGCTACTGGATGCAGCAGGACTTGGATGCCGGCGTACCCCCTGGGTTGGGGTTCCCTCCGGGCTGATTTCCTGCGCCTGCGATCAGACAGGAAAGAAAACACACCAGGTGACAGGAGGCTGCAGAGGGCTTCGCCTTTGACCCAGTTTGGACCAACAATTGCAAACTCAAAGGCTTTTGAGGGCCAACAGATAACCACACGTGCAGACCAGGCACAGAAGAATGACCGCAATTTCTCTCTTCTAAGAAAAATAGCAGCACAAGGACAAAGACAAATGAGAGGCACCAATGTCTGGCACACTCGGCACCAATGTCTGGGAGACACAGGGAGTCTGTAAGTGGTGGCTCTACATTTGCAGCAGCTCATTTAATTTTTTGTATTTATTTTTTGTTTTTGCCTTTCTCCACATGTTCTAATGTTTTGTTTTGTTTTTTTGCAGCTGCCCATTTAGAATCACCCCACACTGCCCAGAGCAGAGCAGAGCAGAGGCCCTGATAGTGTCCATGGGTAAGAGGGACGGGTGTGCAGACCAAGGCAGTCAGGGTAGGGCAGGGGCTAGAAGCTGTGTCCCATGAGGAAACAGCACACAACCAGTAAAAGAAATGACTCGAAGGAGGAGGCAGTACTGTCAGTAGGGAAGAATTGGAACGAACAAATTCCACTGGATTCCTGAAGGCAGAACCATGGCCACTAGGTGGGAACTTCAACAAGGAGAACAACTGGAGTTCAAGGGAGACATTTCCTAATAGTGGTACTGAATGAGGATGCCAAGCAAGGTAGTGAGCCCTCTGTCACTGGTAGTATGCAAGTGAAGGCTCATGATGGTACAGACCATCTGATTCAAACATCAGACATAAGCCTGGAAATACGGCCTCTAAAATCCCTTTCAACCACCAGTTCTAAGTTTTATCCTTTGCACCAGGGTGGGGACATATGTCCACGGTGCTGGAATCAGAGTCTGCACTATGTTGGTTGGGCGGGCACTTGCAGGGAGGCCTAGAGCACCCCTTCTTGGGAACCAGGCTTCACCACTACTGACTGTGTGACTTGGCCAAGATACTTCACCCCTGCCGGCCTCAGTGCCTTCATACACAGAAGGGGACAGAAATTGGTCAACAGGAGCCTCAAGGAGGCCAGGCCCAGACACACGGTGACAGCGGTCGGGACGCCCTGCCTTCCACAAACCTGGCTTGTTCGGCTGCTGCTTCTGCTTCTCCTCCTCCAGCGCCTTCACCTTGGCTTCATACTCGTCAGCGAGCGCCTTCCACTCCTTGCGGTTGTTGGTGATGCCGTCCAACATGGGGGTGATCTCCTCGTGGAAGCGGGAGAATTCCTGGAAGAGAGAGAGTGTGCCTCTGACACAGGGGCCGTGCTGGGTTCTGGGCTCCATGGGGAGGCACTTCTCATCTCTGACTTCCGTATTGTCATGTGAAACATGGCCAAAATAAAAATTAAAAATGAGAGGTGGGTGGTGGCACAGATAACGTGAATTTGGGAGCAATGGGTATCTCAAGAGGGAGACTTTAACTTTGAACAGTAGCTCAAAGAGAAGTTCCAGACTGTCCTTTCACAATTACTGCGGCCTGTCACATTGCCACCAGCTGGGGAAGTTAGGAAGGCATGTGTCTGCTGTGTTTCCCCTTCCCCTGTCTGACATCATGCTTGGTCATTTGTCCCACAACGATGTGTTGAGCAACTGTTGGATGTTCCAAGCTCCAGGCTCTAGCCTGGGCTACAATCACCCAAGACCCATAGCGCTGTCCTGAGAACCAAATGCCATTGGAGATGAGAAGCGCTTTGTGACGTTATCACCCACTGGCCACCTGCCCGGGTTTATTACCTCTGATGTTGTTTGGGAATCCGGGTTTATCAAAGACATTTTGTCGGGTCTGAGGAAACCAAGGGCCTACCTTGTAGACGAAGGTGCAAACGAAGTCAATGAAGCCGACTTGAAGCTTAGGGAGTTCATCCGCCTTGTTCCTGTCCATCATGGGCTGGCAGCGGGGAGAAAGAGTTAGCAGCACTGCGAAGAGGGACCCACCCTACCTATGCAGCATTCCTGCTTAAAAAAATCGAACTGTAGACTCATCAAGTTTCCAAATCTGAAAGAGCAGTTTGCAGGAAATGTAACACGGAACATGTTAAATAACATCTCCAGGGTGCAATCAACCAAATCCAGAATGTGGGAAGCCACACAACAAAAAACCCATTGTCTTCAACAAATAAATAGCATACAAAAAAAAAAAAAAGACCATGGGGTAGGTGGGTAGGGGGACCTACTATTGATCAAAAGAGGCTTAAGAGACATAACAACCAGAGGCAGCACTCCTTGGCCTTTTGGCTAAGATTAAGGGTAGTAGTCTAGGCCAGGCGCGGTGGCTCACGCCTATAATCCTAGCACTCTGGGAGGCCGAGGCGGGAGGATTGCTTGAGTTCAGGAGTTCGAGACCAGCCTGAGCAAGAGCAAGACCCCGTCTCTACTAAAAATAGAAAGAAATTAGCCAGACAACTAAAAATAGAAAAATTAGCTGGGCATGATGGTGCATGCCTGTAGTCCCAGCTACCTGGGAGGCTGAGGCAAGAGGATCTCTTGAGCCCAGGAGTTTGAGGTTGCTGTGAGCTAGGCTGATGCCATGGCACTCTAGCCCAGGCAACAGAGTGAGACTCTGTCTCAAAAAAAAAAAAAAAAGGTAGTAGTCTAGTACCTGTGAACAGTTTAATATGGGATCCGTCCTATACCCAAGGACAATATATTAAATGGATTTTTGGAGCAGGGAGATGGAACAGGAGCTTGCTCCATCCATTCCACGCATTGACCTGCTATTGCAGTATCTCCGGGAGCGGGGTACCACCCACCGGGAGATTAAAAAAAACCACAAAACCAGAGGCAGCGTGTTCCTTGATTGGATCCTGATTTGAATGAATCAACTGAATTCTTTTTCTCAATCAGGGAAAATGAACAGAGACTGGGATTAGATAGATGATACTGAGGTATTATTACTAATTTTGTGAGTATGATAATGGTATTGCGGTTGTGTGTATGTTTTTGTCTGTACAAAGCTCTTATCTCACAGAGACACACACTAAAGTATTTATGGAAGAAATGACAATGTCTGGGATTTACTTTAAAATACTCCAGCCAAAAGAAAAAAATTGTGTTGACAAGAATAGATAAAACAAGAACGGCAGACTGCTGCTAAATGCTGGCTCCGGCAGATGGGCACACGGCGTTCCCTGACTATTCTCTCTGCATTTTAAAATGTTAAAAAGAAAGAGAACTACAGATCCTACAAGCCCTGACGGTTCCTGTTCACGACGGGACCTCCAGCTCCCCGTGTTTCACGCTCCCTCGGCTCCTGCCTATGCCTGCCGTGGGCCCCCATCCTTAGCACACTCCTTCAGGTTGAGCCTGTACCCATGTCAACGGTTTGTTCCCAAGATGTCTCTCTCTTTTACCCATCCTCTCCAAAGCCACCTCTCCTTCCCAGCTCTGCCCTCAGGGTCTTCTGGAAACCTTCCAGCCACTCTCCCCATCTCCATGGGAAGCCTGCAAAGGGTCCCAGACAAATTAACTTTCATCGCTGATGGCCATGCAGAGTGGCACGTAAGGTCTTCCCTTCCTCGCTCTGTGCTGTCGGGACAGGAGCAGGGGAAGTAGATGCCTAGACTGTTAGAGCTGAAAGGCCAATCTAAGTTTTGGTGTCCACTTGTCAAGCTCTACGTAGCTGAGCAAGCTCAGGACACGTTTCTCAAACTTTAAGAGGGCTTTCTAGAACACACATTGCTGGGTGCATCCCCAGAACTTCTGGTTGGGTAGGTCTAGGGTGGGGCCCATGAATTTGCAGTAATGAGGTTGTGCTCCAGGGACCACACTTTGAGAACCACTGCATCGAGAAAAGGTCATCTCTATGGTAAGGTCGTATCATCTCTAGGTCAGGGTGAGATCACACATGTCTGACATCAGGCCAAAGGCCCTTCTCTACTCACAATAGGATTCTGTTGCAGCACCGTGCGCTCCAGGTCACCCTGTTCCCAGAATTCGGCAGCAACCAGCAGAGCTACCTGAAACAGACAGACCCTCACACACACACGAAGTCAAAGCCCCAGCCCACTCCCTTACCCCCGTTCCCACCCCACTTGCATTGTCAACTCAGCACAAAACTCAGCACCACCCCTGCCCGCCCCCCGGCCCCCCTTTGCAGTCATCACTGGAGGACCCTAAAGTGATTCCCATGTCGTGGCAGAGGAGGATGGAGCAAAGATGAGTTGGCTCTGGCGTTGGACTGAGAGAGTCCCAGCCTCATTACCTGCTGCCACCAGCACTGGAATTCCCTCGACCCGGTCAGGAGGAGTCCATACCTTGCTCTGCACCTCCCAGGGCTTGGTGATGGCGGAGAGATCGCAGGCAGTCATCATCATGGCCCTGTGGAGGCACAGAATGCCATCAGTCCAGGGCCATTGAAGACTGCGGCACTGGTCAATTCCATCTCTCTTTCCTTTCTCCACCCCTGCTAGTAGGCGACTTCACCCCATTGTGAGGAAAGGGCTCGCTCCCCCATTGTATCGGGGGGTCGGGCTTTGAAGTCAGACAGAAAGTTAAATCCTACCTTTGCCAATTGTCAGAGGTTTGACCTTGGGCAATTAAACCAACCTCTGTAAGCCTCCGTTTCCCTGTCTGTAATGATAATGGTACTTTCCTCATGGAGTAGGTGTAAGGTTAAATGAGATGATGCATATAGTAATCTTCGTATAGGACCTGGGCATAGTATGTGCACAATAAACATATACTGGGTTTTTATTATGTACCCGGAACTGAACAAACATCAATTTCACTTAAATCTCATCACATCTGCAGAGCCCTTTCTCTCTTGTCTAGTGTAGAGAAATGTGTGTCAACCTTTTTCTCATTATTGTCCCCTGTCCCAACTGCCAAGAGCCTTTTTTAGACACTTTTTTTCATAATTACCCCCACCATGAAATTTTCTCACTCAGAGCAAAGTAGCAACATTCGCTAGGTGAACTGCTGTTGAAAAATATCACCATCATTGTCGCCCAGCATGAACTTTTAATACCATAGATGTGCTATCTATCTGTTTGGAGAGCCTCTGACCATTGCATTAATAATATCTAAGATGTTTTGCTCTCCTCTCTTAAGAACCACTTGTTGCTCCGTTGGAGGCAGGATACCTGTTTTCTATTGGTCAGTCAGCTTTTCTGATTTAGGAGTTTCATTAATACCGATGGATTCCTTTCCCTTCTTGGCTGGTTCCTCACCTGGCAGAGATGCTCACAAAAACATTTAAAAATGAAAAAAATGGACGGGGTGCAGTGGCTCACGCCTATAATCCTAGCACTCTGGGAGGCCGAGGTGGGAGGATCGCTTGAGCTCAGGAGTTCAAGACCAGCCTGAGCAAGAGCGAGACCCTGTCTCCACTAAAAATAGAAAGAAATTAGCCAAAACAACTAAAAACAGAAAAAATAAGCCGGGCATGGTGGTGCGTGCC